TTGAGAGGCAAATCCAGCATGCGACATCATTGGAAAGAGTTTTGGTTTACCCAAGTCAGTGCAAGTATTCAGAAAAATATTGTCTGGACGTAGATGATAATTGTATGAGCGCGAAGTATTAATTCATCGTGACCGAGGATTAAAATGTTCAACGTATGATCGCTTACTTTGGCTCTTTCTAACTAACGTATGTTCAATTTTGTTGGTCAAATATCACATGAATTTTCTCCCTTCATGAATTTTCTCCCTTCATGAATTTTCTCCCTTCATGAATTTTCTCCCTTCATGAATTTTCTGAATCAGACATTTGTAATAGCTCATGGAAATATCTTGAACGGAAAAATGAAAATAAAAACGAAGGAAACTGCTGAGTCACGAGTCCTATTGAAAAAAATTTCTGACAGATATGAAATACGCCATTGATTGAAGCAATACATCAAGCATTCAAAATCGTGAAAAATTACAAACGAACAATGGTAAAAATATAATCTTAATTTTGAACCAAATCTGCGTAGCCAAATTATGAGCAAATAAATATTAATAAAGTGCTACTTTATTGCTAGCAGTGTACTTTTAAAATTGATTTGAGCATGCTGGTAAACTATTTTGATGGTACAAAATTGGTAGTTTTCCATTCAATTTTATAGATTATTCGCGAAATATTTTGTGGTGCAAATATAACTGAATTCAGAATTATATGTTTATAGACAACAATAATTTTGCAAACTACATCATTGACAATCAAATAAAATTAATCTTACAAAAAATACGGGCCGCCAGTAACAAAAATACAACACCACAAAGCATTAACATATTTTGCAGCCAGAAGGATGAATTTGCTTTAAGCAAAATCATTGAACACCATATTTCTGATGTACCACCTGCGGCAAAGATATGAAGTATATAATATATTATAGAAAATAGAAGACCGCTAAACTCGTCGTCACCAACCAAAATAACCCGAAGAAAACTAAATTAGCGGTGACCAATATAGCGTCCTAATTCCAATGCCCAGGACAAAACTGTGATACTTATCAAAAATCAATGACCTATATACCAACACACCACTACCTCCATAAGTAGACGTTGTACATGCCACCTTTCGAAGAAGAGCGCGCTTACTAAACATTTATTAACGGATAATTTACAAAAACGTTTAACGGAAATTCTAGTCGACATCTAAAAGATTCTTTTCAGGTCACATAATCGTACACAACTGATCACTGGAGAGGCATTGATTATTAAATATCATCCTCCCGCTATAAATCTTACGCTATTTAGCAGTAGAGACGGCGTGTTAAATGTTTTCTAAAAAATAGAAGTGATGTCCAGGTCAACTGACCGCGCATTTCACATGGCCGCCGTACAAATCCGCAAAATATAGAAGCCACACAGAGAAATAAACCATCCAAAACAACATCCTTGATAATGGCCACAGAACTAGTCAAAAGCGTTCTGAACAATTATAATTAAAACAATTCCAATATTCTTTAACTCCTGAAAAATGTTATAATGCTGGAAAAATTGTATAGATTAAATAAATCATTGGCCGTTTTCAAAGAGAAGATGATTGAAAGAAATGTTGCTGCCCAAATACACATTAATATATATATATATATATATATATATATATATATATATATATATATATATATATATATATTAAACAATTCATCGAGTCTAGAAGAATGCAGAAAGCACTGGAGGCCCGTTTCGTCCAATATTTGGGACTTTCAGCAGTGCGCATCCCCTACCGAGAATTGAAGCCCGGACTGTTATATTGACAGGCAAACGTCAGACCAACTGTACTAACAGGCCTCGGTGACGAAGTGGTAGCGAACTAGAGTCGATATTGCGCCGCTCGTTCACATATTCCGTGGTGGAACTCATCCAAGTTCCTTTACCCATAGGACTGTGATTCCGAGAGCCATGACTAAATTATTAAGATTAGTGAGTAGTTAAAAAGTATATATAAAAATATTCACTTTATATTCGCAAAGTAATTTTTTACAGATAGTTCCTCCTTATAAAAATTAATTAAATTTCCAATTGACAGTATATATATATATATATATATATATATATATATATATATATATATATATATATATATATATATATATATATAGTGGATTTTCTTGCTGTCGTCGACAAATGAGGGTTCAGCAAAATAAAGCGGTGTTTCTATGGCAGGATTGCAAACATTTAGGTCGATGGAACATGTGGTTGAGGATAATTTTTGGCACATATTTTAGGAATGCTTATTGCTTATAAAATCTTCGGAAAAACATTTCTTATACCTGTCTAACCCTTTTTAATTTATGAAATTTGGAGAAATTCATTTTTGTTTTTATTAGTTATAAGCACAATTCTTCGGCAAATTTAAACAGTACCCCCCAGTTATCGAAAATCTTCTCTGAATCGTAAAATAAAATAAAAATGTAATAACACTAGGACAGTATTTAATAAGAAAAGCTTTTAATTGCTTCAATGAAAAAATATATTATGAACAGTTTTGCTTGACAAAAAAAGTATATAGATAATAACTTTTTTACAAAAATTGTTTTGTAAAAAATTAGTTGGAATAATTTATTAAATTTTAAATCTTTTAAAATTCTGTATTAATTTGTACGGGTAAGCTTATATAGTTATTATGTAGAAAATATATTTACTAATCATAAATGTAAAAGTGTACCACAGTTCAACGACTCCCAATATTAAAAGAAAAACTGCGTGATTATTAACGTGCAGAGTTTTATAAATATTGAAAATAAGAGCAGTAAATATAATAATTTAAAAGCCAAAATATCTATAATATTTCATTAGATAACGTAGAATATTTTCCTAGTGAGTAGTTAAAAAGTATATATAAAGATGTTCACTTTATATTCGTTAAGTAATTTTTACAGATTGTTCCTCCGTATAAAAATTAATTAAATTTCCAATTGACAGTAAAGCTCTCAGGTTTTCAATAAAGATTTCAACACCTTAGAAAACACATACATCCGTTGTTAAAAAAAAAATCTTTAGGTAAGAACTGGCATGCTCGGCATGTTGCTTTGCATATCTCGAAGGCGTTTGACAGGTTTATCATTTGCATTCTCAAGGGCTATGATATTTCTGCTAAAATAATTAACTTGATTCAATGGTATTTAATACAACGTGATAAAACACGCGTTAAAAGGCCACACTTTTAGATCCTTTCATATTAATGCCAGGGTCAACTAGAGCTCTATTCTTCGAACGATCTTTTCGACGACATCACTTCCAAACTTAATTTTTGCTCATATCACAACAACTTAATCTTGTCACAATAGGGTGTCCGAGAGATCTGACGAAGTAAAACTGGTACTTTATCTTGAAAATGGCCACCAATCAGTTGTTAAGTGGGGCAAAATTGACTTATAAATTATATAATCTCCAACATGAAACTGCTTTTTTTTAGTCATTATAGAAAATTTGTTTTGCCTTCCATCAGAAGGATAGGTACTAACCTCCATGAGTACAGCATATTGCATATATAGGTCTCATGTTTTCCACTGACAAGAAGTGGAATGATTATACTGAAAAAATGACCAGCTGCTAGGAAAATTGTTTTCTGTCAAGTTTTTTTTCTCGTCAGAATCTCTATTGCGCATTTATAAATCTCCCATTTTTCCATCCACTGAATATTGATGCCATATCTGTGGCTACTGCTGTATATTCTGGGATTCCCGACAATATCCACAGAGGGTCTGTAATGTTATCGGTTCTGATATGGCACTTCATGCTGCAGTGTTGTGACTTCCTTGGCTTTTTATATAATTATTTCCTGGCAATTGCTCTAATGAAGATTCCTCCATCGATCGCATAGGTTTAATCGTTTTGCTAGACGTATCCTTAATTTCTATTCTAATAGGTTTTGTCTCACACTTCATACCGGGTTCTTGCTTAATTTCTTTTAATAGTTATAAAATACTTGGACTTTCCTCTCAGTAACCACGCACACGCACGCATGCGCAAACACACACACACAAAAAACACACACACACACAGAGATCGACTTCTTTTTTTCTTTCTCTCTCTCTCTCTCTCTCTCTCTCTGCATCTATTTGTATATATATATATATACAATTTTTCCAGCATTATAACATTGTTTCCTTTTTTAAATATAAGGTCATTCGCATCTTCTATTTTCTTGGATTTTGTTCTCATATTGTCCTTTCATTTTTGAAAGCTATCTCATTCACTTCTCTCCAATTAACCACTTGTTTTAGAGGCAGTGTCGCCTTGCTTGTAATATATATATATATATATATATATATATATATATATATATATATATATATATATATATATATATATATTCCTGTCCACCCTGACAATACAGGAAAATCGATCTTGGTAGCATCAACATACGACAAAATGCAAATTATTTACAAAAAAAAAATCAATTCCTTGAGACCCTCAACATCAAAAGCAACCAACCAACAAGGAATAAAATTCATTATGGGTATAGTAGCAATATGTTAAAGTTATTTAACCAACATTTAATGCATTTGCATTTTAGCCATCACTGCCTTCCCCTCTTCTTCAGCGGATAATTTTAATATAATTAAAAGAGAGCGCGTGCACGAGTGTTTACAAAAATCACAACGATTTTACTTTCTACCAAATCTGAATGATTATATGAGTAGTTAACTTGAAAAGGCTAAAGAAATTCATTATTTCGAGCCATTCTGAGAAGGAGAAGAGGATTTACAGGAAAGCTGTTAAAATATTGAACAATATTCGAATCGAACCGAAAGTAAATGAATTAAATATTAGCATATTTTTAAAAAATATTAATTTTCTTTCTTCTTTAGCCACGAGAAACATCAGCTTAGTGAAAAAAAGTACTAAGTTTTCATTATTTAAACATACACACAAATAAACACAGAGGAATTTTAACTTTCGTTATCCTGTTTGACTCAAGTCATTGTTTTCATCCAGCATGCGTAAATTATACGCTATAACAGATAATGTTTCTCTATCTATCTATCTATCTATCTATCTATCTATCTATCTATTGCTATTCCCATGGAGAAACCGAATGCCCGAGAAAAGGTATACAAGTATATTAATATTCTTGCATACATTTGTACGTTTATATGCGTGAAAAGAAAATTGATGATTGTGTTCATATTTCGAACAAAGGGTTAGACAGATCATTGAAAATTGTAAACAGTTGGAAAAGTCGACAGACGACGCCCGGGCAGTACTAGTTGAATATTTTTACATTCTCGTGCTGAGAAGGCAGGATCAGACAGGAATCAAGAGAGATTCGATATAATAGTGCGTATAAGCGGACATATAACCCATGACCTTGGAAACGTATGATTCTCAATCTCCTCCCGCTGCCTTCCATTAACTTTGTGTCTGTTTACTGATTTGCTTTTAATAATAGAAAATTATGGATTTTTGGACTGCAATCAAAAATAGTGTTTACATTTCTTATTTTACCGTCGCTGCTCTAGGCTACCGGTTTATCAGCATAACCTACTAATACTACATTATTTTAATGGTCGTTTCGTAGGCGACATTTAGGATGCAAATCTATCTATCTATCTATCTATCTATCTATCTATCTATCTATCTATCTATCTATCTATCTCTCTCTCTCTCTATATATATATATATATATATATATATATATATATATGCATGTGTGTATGTATGTATGTGTATATGTTTGTGTGTGTATGTGTTTGTTTGGGTGTTTGCGTGCGTGTATGTGTGTCTCGAAAAACTGTTATCTGTCCAAGGAAAGAGTAATCCAGCAAGACAAGATTGCTATTATATCTATCTATCTATCTATCTATCTATCTATCTATCTATACATACATACATATATATATATATATATATATATATATATATATATATATATACATGTATATATATATATATTTACATATATATATATATATATATATATATATATATATATATGCACAAAAGTTGAATTGAAAATTCAAGTATAGTTATTAATGCTATTTATTTAGTGTAACTTTTCCAAATACACGGCATTTCCTGACATACTCACATTATCTTTTCATCTAAGTTTAACTTTAGAATATGATAGAATTTTTATACCGGTAAAGTCACTCTAAATAAATTTTCTGAAAGAAACAAGTTGCATTTTGAACATTTACCTGTGTAAAAATCTTTTCATATATAAAATAATATACAAATTCTAACATTCACATCATTAATTCAAAAGAGGGTTCGATACCGATAGTAGAGCAATAATTATTTATTATAACTTTATCATATTGTCTGTTTTTGTCTATATGATAAAATTATTATATATACATACACACACACATACACACACATACATACACACACACACACACATATATATATATATATATATATATATATATATATATTCAAAAAGTATTAATTAATCGATTTCATGAATTGTTTCAGTTCTGAATCTTCGCTATGGAATAAGTAAGTGACTATTTGAAAGAGGAGTCTTTGAATGGCTGCTACAGGGGCGCTGTAATCGCATCGTATCTCCGGCAACGTTTAATCCTTTGTTTACCCTCGGAATGGCGAGTACCCTGCAAAAGGCCTTCTGCGATCTCGAGTTCGCGAAAACAAATGAGGTTGTCACGGTTTTGCGTGCTTTTCGAAGGCAATTCGACATTAATCCGCCCTCTCTTAAGAGTATTCGACAGTTGTTTAAACAGTTTCAGGAGAACGAGTGTCTGTGTAAAGCAAAATGTCTACGATAACCCCTTGGAGAAACAAGTGGTGAGAATCCGAGCTGCATTTGAGGGGAAGTCCACGGAAATCCAGAAATCCAGCTAGCCGTAAGGTTGAGATCTCTTAATCCATTATCTGGCGTGTGATCAGAAGACGTCTACTTTTCAAACCTTACAGACTACGCCTAGTTCATGCACTTACCAAGCCCTTAATCTTTGTGCTTGTCCTTCAAGATGCCCGGAATTCAACGTGTGTGATTTCTATTGTGGTGATACATAGAAGATCGCGTTTATGTTCCACCTCTACCCACTAGCCTTGATGAACTTAAACATCGAATGACTATAATGATCAACTCTGTGGATCGTGGTATGCTTATACACATCTAGGAGGGATGCTCTTATTGAATTGATGTTGTCACATTGAACAGTTATAAGACTAGAAATAAAAGTTGATTGTGAGTAGAATACTTGTAGCTTGACTGGAGTTTTCTATTGCTTTTCCTTATTAAAATATTGCGTAATGAAATCGGTTCATTTTTTTCAATAACCCTGTATACACACACATACAGACAAACACACACACATACATACATACATATATATATATATATATATATATATATATATATATAATTTCATTTGGCATTGTTACTGTGGGGAAAATAGAAATTGCTTCCCTCCCAAACGCCCTCGTGTCTGTCTGGCTTGTGTGTTGAGAAAAGAAAGAAAGGGTCCAAGATGGCGTCCGTGACTTTTTAATATTCACGGTCTCGTGCAGTCTCGCAAGGTCGCGTTATACGCATGCTAATGACGTGTGTCTGGGCTCCATAAAAGCAGGTCACTTGGAGAAATTGGCAGAAGCCATTACACCCGTGTTCGGTATACATTGCTTTGCGTTGCATCGTGTCAGACATTTTCCTACGGAAAGAGTTGCCTCCCTTACACTCCATATTGAATTTGACTCCTTTGCTACAGTTACCATCCTTGTTAACTATCTGAAGAGACGTTTTACTTAAACGACTAAACAAAATGTAAAATTTTGTAGTAGTTACTTACATGTATGTATATTGCTCTACTCTTGTATCGAGCCCTGTTTTAATTTTATATTTTGAACGTTGCAATTTTAATCTTCGTTCTTTTACATCTTTATATATATATATATATATATATATATATATATATATATGTACAAAGAAAAAGAAGAGAGTACTAAAGAAAATAAAAAAACATTAGATTTTTATATGTGGAAAAAGCAAAGTTAAATTCTACAGATTATATGATCCGGGTTTTTCAATTAAATTATTTCATGAAAATGCTGGAAATCCTAAATCCTGGATCCTGTTTCAAATTCACAGTTCAGTGTTGTTCAATAATTAACGAGAGTTAAATATTGGTAGTATTCTTTAATTGAAATAATTCACCTGAAATAACAATTCTATAATTGCAATGCTGCCAAAAATACATTTAGTTAGGTATTGTGTTATGTAAAACCCTGTAAGATTTTCTTATTATAATGGGAATTATAATATTAGGGAGTATATTTTGCATCATTTCCGGAAACATCTCCTTTGTTGGTGAACAGGGTTGGACCGGTTGTCTTTTGAATAATCTCATCTTTGAGGGAGATTTCTTTTATTGCTTAATGTGGTGGGACTTGTAGTACTGAGCTAAGAATGCATAAAGCGCATAAGAGATAGACAATAATAAGCTGTAAGGGAATAATGCTGCAACTATGCATCATTAAAGCTATTTTCTTCCTTGCAATGTTAGATTTGAAATGTGAAATAGAAAAATCTAGATGGAGGAATTCATCCAGGGACCACAAAATTCAACGTTAAAAACAAAATGTAAGGAAAGTATTAAATACAGACATAGAAACTAGTTGCAATAAAAAATCTTAATAAAGAGGACTTATACGAAAAGAAACGAATTGACAAACTGTCAAACAATGGCAGAGGAAAATAACAAAAGAAGAAACAGAGTAGGGTTAGTAAATATTACTTTTTACTAGCTGATCGTTGTTTTTTCTCTTTTAATTGCATATCAACACTTGGATGTTTAATACCGAAAATATATTTAACATATAACTTGTAAAAATTATTTGGGTTGTTGATTACCTCACTCTCCAGTCATGCCATTAGAAAAGCCTTATTAATGCTATTAGGTTGGTGCAAAAATAATGTCGTTTTTTACGTTAAGTTGAACGTCAAAAAACGACATTATCTTTGCACCAACCTAATATATCTTGTGGTATAGATCAACCTCCTTCAATTAGGTCAAGATAATCTCTAATTATATCTTCTTGAAAAGGTCCTCTAGACTAATTATCTCATAAAATCCTTGATGTAAAGGGGCAAGTTCACTACAATCGTATAGAATATGTTTTACGGTATATACCTACTGACATGCTGCGCATTCAGGAGGATGTACATTCTTTTAATGAGAAATGAGTGACAGATATAGGCGTGTCCTCTTCTGATTCTTGATATTCTGACATCTTTCTTTCGAGAAAATCTGAGACCATGATATTCACCTAGAATTGGTTCAGTTTTGTAAAATTTGTTGTTTGGTTGGTTGTTCCATAGCTCTTGACACTAGCTTACGTTGTATGAAGTTATAGCTGTTTTGAAGTCAGTATAGGGATTTTCAAATTTGAAATGTCCGCTTTTTAGGGATCTTGCCGTCACAGTATTTACAATAAACTGGAACGAACAAAATAAATCATTTAAATTACATAATATATTCTTTTTCATGCTTTATGTCAGGCATAAAAAGACAACGACAACTCCAAGACAAGGAAGTAAAGGAAAGCTGGATGTAAGGAAAGAAGGAAGAAAAATCAATTGTAAGAATTCATGTTCATCAGCAAAAAGAACTAAAAGGAAAACCGCTAGATTAGAAAATTATACCAAATGTTTATTACAATAGATTTACGTTAAAATGCCAGTAAAATTAAACGATAAACACTCTAAGTGTAGTGGAGGAATAACACGATTACATATTACATCGAAAAACGCCAGAAATAAATGTAAAAATGAAGTAAGGGAAAATAATAAATTTGTATGAATAGAATATGAATTTTTCGTAAGAAATCAGTTTGTAGGAGATTAGGTTTCATTGAGGTATTTTTGTAAACAGGGTTTGTAGAAATTCTGTTTACATTGATGTATCTTTTCAGATATACCATTTGTAAAAAAAAGTTGGTTTTCTTGTTATTTTTATTTGGTTTATATTTTTTAGTAGAGGCCCACTCCTTTAAGAAATAATATTACGCCATCCATTTTTGCTTTTTTGAAGAGCGCACAATGTATATATTATAGTATTTTTGACTTGAATTTCTGAACACACGGTTAATATATGTTTAATAGTGTATGTCGTTTCACGTGCTTGGCATACTGGTTGGTCTTACTTGTTTAGCAAGTACGAGTGGATTATTCTCTGGTGGCCAATGTATAAGCGGGCCAGTACTAATTCCTCATTTCCCGATGCTCTTAAAGCCGACTTCGGGAATGTCGGAATAATTCTACAGGAACGAAAGTTGGTTATCGAATAATGAAATGGGCTACTGAGAGACGGAAATCGATAGGGTTAAAATTAAATTTGTATATTTTACTATACATTTTTTAATAATTTCAAACCAAGGAAGGGTATAAAGCCATTAAAACTCAAGATATTTCTGAGTGGTGGCGAATATGAAAAAACGTATTAATAAGGAGGTAGAGCTACAAAAGAATAAAAAACAGACAAAAGATAACAATTTTCATTGAAATTAAATCGTTGAAGATCAAAGTTGACTGAAAGCAAGAAACGTGAAGAGAGTCCCACAATTGAGAGGTGCGATAGAAGAAAATGTTAGCAGAGAAATTATGGTTAAATTTACCCATTTTAAATGTAAAATGATGAGACATTGCCACTAATCTAGTACTGCGCTTAAATTCGTAGAGGGAAGT